CACTCTTTCAGAAATGAACACCAACTGTTTGATCAAAGTACTGAACCAGATGCTGCCTCCATTAGCCGTTCTATGTTCACATATTTGCAGAGAAATCATCCACACAAAGCTCTTCAAATCTTCAAGAATAACCTTGAAATGGGTTTGGCTGAAAACGTCGATGAAGCTATGGTTACCCTCGCTCTCAAGGCTTGTCGAAGCGAGCCGAAACTCGGCCGCCAAATCCACGGGTTTGCAATCTCATCTGGATTTATCTCGCACAGTATAGTTTCAAATTCTTTGATGAATATGTACTCTAAATCCGGGCAACTTGAAAGTGCTTTGTGTGTCTTTGCGAGTTTATGCAATCCTAGCATTGTTGCTTGGAATACAATCCTTTCGGGATTTCGAAAGAGCGAAGAAGCTTTTGATTTCGCTCTTCGAATGAATTTGAATGGGGTGAAATTTGATTCCGTCAGTTATACTACGATTCTGGCTTTTTGTTCGGATTATGAAGAGTTTCTATTTGGAATCCAATTGCATTGTCTTGTCATTAAATCAGGATTTAATTGCGAAGTTTTTGTTGGAAATGCACTTGTGTCGGTGTACTCGAGATGCGAAAATCTATTGGATGCTCGGAGGGTGTTTGACGAAATGCCCAATAAGGATTTGGTTACGTGGAATGCAATGATATCGGGGTATACTCAGGACGGAGATCATGGGCTAGAAGCGGCTTTGTTCTTTCTTGAAATGGTGAGAGGAAGAATGGAGCTTGATCATGTTTCATTTACTAGTGCAGTTTCGGCTTGCGGGCATGAAAAAAATTTAGAGCTTGGGAAACAGATACATGGCTTAGTTATAAAATCGGGATATGGAACACATGTTTCAGTTTGCAATGTGTTGATCTCGACATATTCAAAGTGTGAGGTCATTGAAGATGCAAAATTAGTCTTTCGGGAGATGATTGAACGAAATGTCGTGTCATGGACTTCAATGGTTTCTATAAACGAGGACGATGCTATGAATCTATTCCATGGTATGAGATTAGACGGAGTATATCCAAACGGTGTAACCTTTGTAGGACTAATCCACGCCATAACAACGAGGAATTTGGTCGAAGTAGGACGAAAGATCCATGGATTTTGTGTAAAGACTTCATTTTTGTCGGAACAAAATGTTTGCAATAGCTTCATTACCATGTATGCAAAGTTCCAGTCCATAGGAGACTGTTTGAAATTCTTTGAGGAGCTTAGGTACAGAGATATCACATCATGGAATTCGATCATTTCAGGTTGTTCTCAAAATGGATTGTACAAAAAGGCTCTGCATATGTTCCTAATAGCTGTTACCGAGTGTAAACCAAACCATTATACCTTTGGTAGCGCCTTGAGTGCGATTGCTGATGCTGCGGATATTTCTTTGAAGTATGGCCAACGATGCCATTCGTATCTAATAAAACACGGGTTGAACACCCACCCAATTATCTCTGGCGCTCTTCTCGACATGTATGCAAAGCGCGGGAGCATCTGCGAGTCTCAAAAGGTTTTCGATGATACACCTCAGAGAAGCCAATTTGCTTGGACTGCACTAATCTCTGCCTATGCGAGCCATGGAGACTATGAATCAATGATAAAGCTATTCCGGGAGATGGTGAGGGAAGAGGTAAAACCCGATTCAATCACTTTTCTTTCTGTGCTAACCGCGTGCAGTAGAAAAGGGATGGTTGAGATGGGGCGGGAGCTCTTCAATTTGATGGTGAAGAACTATAAGATAGAACCGTCCCCAGAGCATTATTCTTGTATGGTGGATTTGCTTGGGCGGGCGGGAAAACTCGAAGAGGCAGAGGAAATGCTAGGCAGGATTCCGGGGCAACCAGGGTTATCAGTGTTACAAAGCTTGCTTGGAGCATGTCAGATGTATGGGAATTTGGAAATGGCTGAGAGAACAGCTCAAGTTTTGATGGCATTGGAGCCATCAGAATCAGGGCCTTATGTTTTGGTATCAAATTTGTATGCTGAGAAAGGAGAATGGGAAAAAGTGGCAAAAATTCGGAGAGGGATGAGGAACAAGGGAGTGAAAAAAGTGGTGGGGTTTAGTTGGGTGGATGTTGGGGATGTTGGTGGAGGTTCCCTGAATCTACATGGATTTTCTGCAGGTGATAAGTCACACCCCAAGTCTGAGGAGATTTTTAGGATGGCAAAGTACCTAGGATTTGAAATGAGGTTATTGAGTGAGAGAGAGGATAATGAGTGTTTGCAAGAGAATTTTAGCAACATTGAATACCTTGAAAGCGGTCAAAATGGATTGTTATTTTTGTAATTGTTATTTTTGTAGATGCAAAAATATGTAGGGCATGTTCTTTTGTCTAAAAAACTAAAAAAAAAACAACTCAAGTTTCAACTTTATTCAAGTTCACGTTCTTTTAAGTTTTAACTTTATTCAATTTTATTCAACTTTATTCAAGTTCTAACTTCAACTCAAGTTATAACTCAAATTTAACTTAAAAATTACACTCAAATTACACTCCAAAAGAATAACCCCGTAATTTGAAAGAAAATTTGAGTATTATATCTCCTTTCCTTGGTGTTCCATGAGCAGACATTCTCGGACATTTATGTATGATGAAACGTGGTCTTCACAAAAACACATGCAATGTTCTGGTGGTAAAAAAAAAAAAAAAAAAAAAAAAAAAAAAAAAAAAACGTGAGCGGCAGGATTTCTAAACTTACGCGGGCAGAGCCCACATGATTTCTAGTCATGGCCGATAACCGCTCTGGCACGCCCACTACTTGATTCACGCAACATGTAGCAATATCTCGATTTATACATTATTTTCAAAACTTTGGAACTACTACAAACCTGAAATGTACATCCTACTACATGAATTGCATTTCCATTAAATGAAATTAGGATAAATTTTATTTTTTCCCTTAAGCTTTGGTCTCTTTGTCACTTTACTCCTCGAATTTTAAAAATTGATATGCGCACCCACAAACTTTGAAATATTATCAACTTTGCCCCTTCTGTTAGTTTTTTTAACGGATTTGATGACGTGATAATTATTGAAGGGGTAATTTAATAGATTATTTTCATAAATGTCTTTCCAACTATGTACCTTATTTAAAAATGCTCATTGATATATTAAAACTAATCAAACCCTAATCTATAGAAAACGTAATAAAATAATATTTTTATTGATGTGGCATGCCATTGAAAATTAATTAAACATATTAATTTCTAATTAAATATTAAAAATAATAAAAAATAAATATAAAACACGAATTTAAAAAAATTAAAAATTAAATAAATCAACTTTTTTTTCACCAAATTAATATTATTAAATATTAAAAATGATAAAAAATACTTTAATTTTAAAAAATAAAAAATTAAACAAATCATTTATTAAAAAAAAAGAAAAGAGGACTTTTTTTTTTGAAAAATCTACTTCGGCTGTGTTTGTTTCACAACTCAAGTTCTAAACTTAAGTAGTGCTTTTGAGAGAAAAATACTGTAGTAAAAAAGTTGAATTCAAATTTTTATGAGAGAAAACACTATACAATATAATTTGAGTTGTGAAAATATTTTTCTTTTTTCTTGTTTTGATTTTTGAAAAAAAAAATAGTTGATTTATTTAATTTTTTAATTTTTTAAATTCGTTTTATATATATAATTTTTATTATTTTTAATATTTAATTAGAAATTAATATGTTTAATTAATTATCATGCCACATCAATAAAATAATTATTTTATTACGTTTTCTATAGATTAAGGGGCATTTTGATCAGTCGTAATAGATCATGTGGTATTTTTTAATAGGGTACATAGTTCGGGGAGCATTTATGAAAACAATCTATTAAGGCCCCGTTCATTTCATCGATTCGAGTTTTGCTACAGTAAAAAGCTCTCAGAAACAGTCACATTTAACTTTTTACCATAGTAAAAAGCTCTCACATAAAATCACATATCAACGCGAATTAAAAACTCAAATCAGCGAACTAAACGGAAATTACCCCTCAAATAATTGCCACGTCATCAAATTTGTTAAGGACCCGTTTAGTTCGCTGATTCAAGTTTTTAATTCGAGTTGAGATGTAACGTTATGTGAGAACTTTTTACTGTAGTAAAAAAGTTAGATGTGACTGTTTCTGAGAGCTTTTTACTGTAATAAAACTCGAATTCTAAATTCGAATCGGCGAAATGAACGGGGCCTAAAAAAACTAACAGAAGGGGCAAAATTGATAACGTTTCAATGTTCGGGGAGCGCATACCAATTTTAAAAATTTCAGGAGCAAAGTGACAAGGAGACCAAAGTTCGGGGGGCAAAAATAAAATTTATCCATGAAATTATGGTTGCATTTGGTACAAGGGTTCAAATCAATGTGATTTTAGTTTTAGAACTAGAACCATGATTTATGGTTTGAACTTGGGGTGCATACCATAGTTCTCGAACTGGAATCAGAACTAGATGTTTGAACCATCCAAAATCAAGGGGGAGGTGGTTTTATTTTTTGTTGTGGCTTTAGTTTAAAACATAACATCATGATTCAAACTTTGAATGAGACCCATCCAAATTAAATACTGATTTTTTAAAATTATTTTTTACTTTTTACAAACAAACAAAGATTTAAATCAAACTCATGATTCTGATTTTAAAATCCTCATACTAAACGCAACTTAAAAAAAGCCCCAACTTTTTTTTAGAAATTTTGGGCCCGTTCGGTTTGCTCATTCGAGTTGAGATGTGATGTTATGTGAGAGATTTTTACTGTAACAAAAAAATTAAATGTAACTATTTTTAAGAACTTTTTATTATAACAAAATTTAAATTTTAAACTTAAATCAGTGAAAAAAATAGGCCTTTATTGACACTCCATTTTCTCTTAATTCATGTCCTTATCCACCACATAACATTATCAGATACACTTAGGGCCCGTTCACTTCACCAATTCGAGTTTAGAATTCGAGTTTTGCTACAGTAAAAAGCTCTCACAAACAATCACATCTAATTTTTTTGCTACAGTAAAAAGTTCTCAAATAAAATCACATTTCAACTCAAATTACAAACTCGAATCAGCGAAGTAAACGGACCCTTATTGCAGCCGTCAAATCTAATTAAAATCTCGTTCAGTCAACACAGTTAAACGCTCCGTATTCGTCGCGGTCTTTCCGTCCTAATTCTATTTTTTTTTCCTGGAAAAATTCTCTCCTAATTCAGATTCAAAATGTTACCGTTGAAACGCCCTTTTTCCCCAATTATGAAAAACCCTTCCTTCCCTCTCAAACCTCAGTCTCTCACTCACAGATCAAAACACAAACCATTCTCTCTCACTCCCTCCGATATTCTCTTTTCTTAGTCTCTCTAGAACTCAGTAACTCGGTTAGACTCAGAACAGCGAAAATGAGAGAGATCCCTCACATCCAGGGAGGCCAATGCGGAAACCAGATCGGAGCCAAGTTTTGGGGAGTGGTTTGCGCCGAGCACGGGATCGACTCGACGGGTCAGTACAACTCGAGTGAGTCATTGTCTACTATAACGAGGCGAGTTGCGGGCGGTTCGTCTCACGCGCCGTCCTCATGGATCTGGAGCCCGGAACCATAGACAGCGTCCGATCTAGGCCCTAGGCCAAGATCTTCAGGCCGGACAACTTCGTCTGTCAGTCCTGCGCCGGAAACAAGTGGGCCAAGGGTCAGTACACCGAAGGCGATGAGTTGATCGACTCGGTCCTCGATGTGGCTAGGAAGGAGGCTGAGAATTGTGAGCACAGTTCTCACAAGGTAAAATTTTTTTTTTTTTTTTTTTTTTTTTCCATTTTTTAGTTCTCTATCGAAGCAATTTTGCCTAATCAGTGATGAATTTGAGTTCTACCTTTAGGTTTTTGAAGAATTTCATTTTGTGTTTTTTCTCCCTTACTTTTTCGTTTTCTCATTTATTTATTTTGGCATGATTTTCTGTTTCTTTGTATTTAATTGAGTGATGAAATTCCATAAATATTTTGTGTTTGTTTCTCAAAATAATGGTTGATTGAACGCTCAGTCTATCGTGATTTAGGGTTTTCGTCTTTCTTTGTTGAGAAATATAGAAAATGAAAAGTGCATAAGAGAAGTGTGCATTAGGTTTGGTTTTTCTGTAAAACATACACAACGTTATAATTTTGTAGTTATTTCTAAAATTTTTCATAAAGCTAAATAATACCAAGAAGAGAATTCATCTTAGCATAATTTTGCCTTTCTCACCAGACCACCGAGCACACGCTTTGCAAGGTTTTCCTTTCCTTTCTTTCTTTCTTTTGTTTGGTTTATGAGAAAATCTTGTTCATGCTCATTTACTTTACGGAAAATGAATATATTTTTGCTTCATTTAGTAAATTAATTAATTAGTCTATAGAAAAACGTTTATGGGTTTTGGATGGAATGGTTGACGCTATGAGAAAGTGTGTTTGAGGGAAGAATTTGCGCTTAGTTAGACACATTGGTAAATTTTCTTTTTCATATTCCTTTTTATTTATTTATTCACTAAAAAGATCTTATAATTTTTTGCTGAGACATTAAAACGTTAGTATTGCTGTGTTGTTCATGCTTGCTCATTCATGAGTAAATCAGAGGAATTAAAGTTTTACATCTAACTGAAAATTTGGTGCGTGGGTACTCTTTTTTTTTCTTTTTCTTTTTTTCTTTCTCAGTCTTAGGTGCATTTTAGTTTTGGTACATTTATTCTGTAACTAACATGGATTACTATCGTTTCTTATTAAATAAGTTGCAATTCTGGCTATTCTTTTGTGTTAAATTGCATAACTCCTTCAAGGGTGGTTTTATCTATTCTTTGTCTTATACTAATCCTATTCAGGATGTGGTTATGATTAATACTTGTTAAAAGAGTTTTGCATATTTGGTGTGAGCTTACTGATCAGATCTTAATAGTAAGTATAATCAGTAAAAAGAATTCTTTCCTTTTAAAACCATGAATCATGATTATTTGCTATGTGTTCTTCAAGCTTGCTTTAAAACCATGAATCATGATTTCATTAGAGATAATAATTAAAACCCCCCTTGTATTTCGTCAAAATGGTGGATTTTGCATTATGTTTTCAGAAATACTTCACTTGTTCCCTTCGTCTCTGAGAAGGTTTCAATGCGATTTGTAAAACATAGGGGATAATTTTAAAACTACTTGTGAAACATAGGGAGTATGTGACATATTCTTAAAAATGTAGAAGGGAACGACAAAATTTTGATAAAAGGTAGGACAGTTTTTTTCTTTTATTAACCCCATCAAGGTATTACAATTTAAATAATGAGCATGGGTATCCGTTTCCTTTCACTCTCATTTACATTTTACTTTTTGGACA